AAGGAGAGGACGGGGGAGAGGTAGACGAAGGTGATCAGATGAAGTGATCTATGTCGGGATTGAGAGGGGGCGGAATCGGTGGAAAAAAGGCGGCCATTGCGGCAGGAGTCGTCGGCGCATCTTCCTCAAGGAGATGATGCTGGACGAAGGAGTGGTAAAGAAAAGCCCCCGGCACATGGGAGAGGACACATGGCACCAGATCCGCCACCACTCGCACCACCTGCTTGCGCACCGATCGGGGCCCTCGACCCGTCATTACCACATGCGTCTCGGTATAAGGCCGCCGCTCTCGCTTCTGCGCCGCGAAGACCAGGAAGTGGTACACCGCATTGGGACGCTGTCCAGTCTCGTAGATGAGCGTCCCAGCCAATCGCGCCGCAATACACCCTTGAAAAGGGGGCGTCAGGTATGGTTCCCACGCCGGATCAGGGCGCGGCGCCCCCGCGATGGCCTCGAGCCTAATGGTGGCGGGCTCCACCATGAAGTCCACCTTGGTCGGATGGACCGTCCGGCTCGGATGAACTACTAAGGTCAATGACCGGGGCACCCCGGGGTGGTTGGCGGGAACGGAGAGGTCCCGCGAGGACGGGGGGTCTGGATATGGGATCCGGAAATCCCATTCGGCTTCCCCCTCCGGCTGCTGTTGTTGATGATGGCCCGGCTCCATCAAGATTGAGGTCGGGCACACGCGGAATGGGCGGCGATGGCACGATAGTCTCCTTAACGAGTGTCGCCGCGCACGCGGGCTGAATCACTTCCTCGCCGCCGCCGATCCTGCTGCCTTGCGCTCCTGGCGACGGGTGGCGTCTCTTCCTGTTCGGCGTCTTCTTGGGGGCCTTCGGTGGTGCTGGCCGAGAGTACGATGAGGGAGGACGCAACGGCCTTTCCTCCGGGAAGTCGTCCAATCTCTCCGCGCGCTGCGCAATGTAATCCGGGATGACGACCGCATTGTACGTTCTCCGCGGGGCCGTCGCTGTCCGCAGTCGTGGTTGGATCTCCTCCTCCTCGCTCGCGATCACTTGCGAGATGGAGAGGAGCTCAAGATGTATGAGCTCCAAAAATCCTGGATCGATCGTCTGGAGCTGGGCAAATGGGTACAGCGCGACCGTCCCTTCCTTCTCCGCTGGCTTGGGTCGTGTGATGACGTAGTAAATGACGAAGTGCTCACCGGTAGCGTGGTCTTCGTGATCCACGAAGAACCGGAACATCCCCAGCGCCACCGACTTGTACAGCGACGGTGCAACTCCCACGCGTCCTCGTCGGCGAAGGGCAGCGGCTCCACGTCAGTTAGCTCCACCAGGTACTCCGAGAACTCGCGCATGGGGTAAGGGCCGGCCGTGAGCTGGTAGGTGAGGGTGGTGCAGGAGAAGAAAGGAGGCATTTAGTACAGGACAGGGGGAATAGCTTGGAGGTTGAGGGGGGCAGCGGGAGGGAGAAGTGCGGGGAGCTGCGGCACCAGCGCGATCGGTCCGTCTTCTGCCCTACGCAGCAGCACTTCGTGGGCTGTGAATCGGTGCCCGCTCCGTCCTTGCACTCTGGCCACTGATCTGGCCGCTTCTACCGCGTACTCGCGCACAAAGCTGCGCGCCAGCTCCCGATTCTCCTGCGGGAGGATCGTCAAGTCTCCGATGAAGGTGGCGACGCTGTGCACGAAATTGGGGGCCACCTAGAGCGCACGGAACTCAATGAATACCCGGGTCGTCTCCCGGCCAGGCAACTGCGTCACATCCACGTACACCCCCACATATGTCAGCCAATCGCAAACCAACGAGTATGCCGCCAGATCAGCAACCCCGGGCGCTAGCACGTTCACCTGTTGGATGTCGTACCGCAACTGCCTCTCCTCGTTAAACCGATGCCGCAACAAGCGATCTGCAAGCGGCGTCTGGAAGTGCTCGAGGGGCTCATGCTCCGGCTGGCGATGGTTCATCCTGCTCCCCGGAACTCTCAGCACCAATGGACGAGGCAGATCGAGAAGAGGAGGAGGATGAAGAAGGAGAAGGTGATCGCGCAGGAGCAGGGGTCCGTAGGGGACCTAGCGATGGCTGGAAGGGCCGGAGCGCGGCAGCGTGCCGTGTCAGCGGTCGGGCCTGGGAGTTGTGACGGGGAATCAGCTTCACGGAGTGCTGTCCCTGTGCGCCAAATTTCGTGACCTCGTAAATGCCTGTGTAGCGCGGGTGGATCTTGGAGGAGCGCGCAGATTTCCGTACCTGTACCAAGTCCCCAACTTTATAGTGGGGCAGTGGTCCCGCCGACGCGTATCGGATCTCGTAGTCCCGGATCTGTCATTGATGCGTCCGATCTATGGCCTGCTGTCGACGGCGAGGTAACAGGGGATAGGCCCTAGCCATTAAGTCCAGGTAGTGGCGGGCCTTGTCTCAATTCTGGGCCCGTGTTGCTCTAACTTCCGTACCCACTAAGGGGGACAATTGCACCCGAGGGACACTATTGGTTCTCAGTTGAAAGGGGGACACACACCCCAGTACTACCGTGTGGGGTAGCCCGATAAACGGCCAAAATGTGATCCACAATGACCGGCCAGGGTCAGGTATCTCCCGCAGTGATATTCCGTCTAAGGGYCGTCTTAATCAGTCGGTTGGCATTCTCTACCAGGCCATTGGCTTGAGGCCAATGCCCCAGCGAGTAGATAATCTTAACGTCCGCCCTGACTAGGTGACGTTCTACTTCGCCTTGAAATTCGGACCCATTGTCCATGTGTATTTCTTCTACGTCTAGATGCATGCACAAAAATCGATTTATGTACCAGGCTACTTCCTGCGAATTCCGGCTGGTCATAGGGTACGCCTCGATCCATTTTGAAAAATGATTAACGGCCACTAAAAGAACATTGAGTTCTCCCTGATCGACGGGCCCTCTCGGAACGTTGATGTCCGTCGTATCGATGCTAACCCTGTGAAAGGGGCGCTCTACACGAGTGGGCACCATCGTCCGAGGCATCTGTACAGGCGCCTTGTCCGCCGCGCAGGCCGGGCAATTTTGAACGATGTATTTCACATCTTCCTGAATTCCCGACCAGTACCATCCGCTCTTTTCGATGGCTTTTTCCGTGTACTTGACCACAAAATGGACCGCATCCTCCTCATGAGTGGCTCGTGTCCAATCGAACCTAGCAAGAGGGTGTGGAACCGTCAACCAGCTAGACTCTCCGTCGTCATCGACCTTCCGTTTTTGTAATGTCGGGCCCTGCCAGCGATAGTCTTGCGCCCGCTCCGTGACTCTCCGCCGTTCGGCTTTGGTAAGTTCTGACAGCGAGTCGCCTGACAGTCTTCGTAGCAACAGAAGGTCCGTCCAGGCCTCTGCCCGGCGGGCACTCGGCGCAAATCCGTCGGCTGTTCTAGCGTCCAGATACCGCTTCTCGGTAGGGACTTGGTCCGTTCTACAATTGGGACAGACCCACGTCTTTTCACATCGGTACCTAACGCACTGTCCGTGAGACTTAACCTTATGACACTGACTACACTGTACCCATAAAAGAAAATTGGGCCCTCCCGGATGTGACCCTTCTTGGTCCGGGATCATAGGTAAGGTACAGAAGAAACAGGGACTTAGGTGCGTTTCAGAAAACGAGTTGGGGCTAGACGAGAGAGCAAGGGAGTGGGATGAGGGCTGAGAGATAGTGTCGGCCATCTCCGATGAAACCTCCATTACGGACTCAGGCGTCGTCCTTACGCAGCACGTATAGCTCCCCATAGTGTGGTTTCGTAGCCGCGACTTCTGGCCTCCACGGAATGAGTCGCTCGTTGGCGGGACACTTGTTGGGCGGCAGGAGGCGCGTTAATCCATCGGCGTTACCATGCTGCCGCGTGGCGCGATGGTGGATGTCGAAGTCATAGTCTTGCAAACGCACCGCCCACCTGCCCAGCGTCCACGTGTAGTCCGTGTTGTTGCGTAGGGACAGCAGCGGCTGATGATCCATCACCAGCACGAATTTCTGGCCGTACAGATACGGTCGGAAGTGCTGAATCCCCCACACCACCGCCAGGCATTCACCTTTGCATGCTTCGTAATTAGCCTGCGCCTGGCTCAGCGTCTTGGACGCATACTCAATGACGTGCTCCCTTTCGTCCTTCCCGTGCTGAGTCAGCACCGCCGATATCGCCTGAGGCTGCCAGTCCGTGTACAGTGCGAACGGTCTTGTCGGGTCGGGACGCGCCAACACAGGAGCAGATGTCAGAGCCTCCGTCAACGCCTGAAACGCCGCCTCGCATTCCGGCGTCCAGATCAGCTGTTCCTCTTTCTTTAGCAGGATCGTGAGGGGCTTCGCTATACCGGCGAACCCCTTGATGAAGCGTCGGTAATAGGATGCCAGCCCCAGAAAAGCCCGGACCTGGGTGAGTGTGACCGACGTCGGGGCGTCTTGAACTGCTGGCACCTTCCTCGGATCCGGTTTTAGCCCGTCGACCGTGACGATATACCCCAAGAATGAAATCTCCGACAAGAAGAACTCACTTTTCTCAAAGGCCACTTTGAACCCAGCATCTTTCAGTGCATGCAAAACCCACTCGATGTGTTCCACGTGGTACTCGTGTGTTTTCGAAAAGACCAAAATATCATCCATATATACAATCACGCAGAAATTGATTAGGGGCTGGGTTAGTCGGGTTTCGTTAACGAACTCAGCGAAGGCCATATTCATAGCCCGTTGAAACGTTGTCGGGGCATTGCAAATTCCCATGGGACACTGGACCCATTGCCACGTGCCCTCGAATAGGACAAAAGCGGTTTTGGGTCGGTCCTCCGGTCGGACTGCGACGTGGTGAAAACCGTGTCGGATATCGAACTTGGAAAAGACTCGAGCGGCCCCGATGGCATCTAACAAATCATTGATTCGCGGCAAGGGATACACATCTTTGGTAGTGATGGCGTTCAATTTTCGGTAGTCGATACATACCCGGACCGAACCATTTCGTTTTGGCACAAGGACCACGGGAAAAGACCACGGACCCAGCGATGGTTCGACCCACCCCAACCACTCGAATTCCCGTACCCTTTCCAAGGCCAGCTGTCTTTCTTTAAGGGAATATCGGTACGGTCAGCAGTGTATCGGGACGTGTTCCCCGGTATCAATCGCATGTTGTATCAAAGGGGTTAGCCCTATGTCGTGGTCCTGAATACTGACGGCCTCAGGATAGGCCCGTATAACCGCCAGGAGGAGGCGTCTGCATTCATCCGAAACACGGGTTGGTAACTGAACTTCCACGGTTCCCCCAGGAAGGGAGACCGTCGTCGTAACCATGGGGACCGCCGCGCTGGCATCGGGCGAGGCCCCAAACAAGGAATTGTCGGTTTTTGCCGAAAGGACAGTCACAATGAGTTGACTGTCCGCCGGACTCATCGGCTCGCTTTCCATGTCACTGTCACCGTCCAGCTCGGGTTCGGTCGAGGGTTCTACCGAAAAGGCCTGCGCCAGTTCCCTTGGTCCCCATCGATATTCCCTGGTCCGGGGTTGAAATGACACCCCTTCTATCAAGAGTATCGCGGCTTTTTCATTCGTGAGTAGGGGCCGTGGCGGTCGAAAAGATAAATCGCACAGCCCCCTTAGCTCGGTAAATCTTTCAGGTAGGGGGTCCGTTCTGAGGTATAAGGACGCAGGGGGTTCTGAAAAGTCAGCTATCCGGGACACCCTCAGCAGGGGCTCCCCCTGCACCACGGAGGAGAAAGCGTGCGACCAATTGGACCCGCCCCAAACTATTTCCAGTGGTTCTCGCAGCCAAGAATGGCGCCACCGATCCTAAACTTGGATCGGATATCGGTCGGGTACCTCAGTCTCGTCGGTTTCCGTCGAGGGTTCGTTTTGACCTGGTGACAAGCGTCGGATCATGTTGATTTGATGGGCTTTCGAGGTGAGGCGAGGCGCTGGCTGGGTGCGCATGCGCACCGCCAGCCTCATTGGTATCGTTTGGGGTTTGGGGTTTGGGGTGGGCCGATGTGAGCACCACCTTACAGCTGTCAAAGTGCATTCGCGCTCCGACCGCCGCCTGCCACGGAATGCCTAGCAGAATATCATACGCCTGTACATCCAGCACGATCACGTCACACAAACAATGTACCCACCCCACCCGTATGGGCACGTTCGTTATTCGCCCTTTACAATGAATACTATCTTCCGTAGCGGATATATACAGTTCATCCGGGCGGAGGGGCTGAACATGTCCTTCCCTTCCCAACTGTTTCGTTAATCTCCAAGAAATGGCGACCGCCGATGATCCCGAGTCTAGGATGGCAGCCGAGGGGTTTCCCCAGACCTCACAATCACACTCTACGCTTTTCCAGATTATAGGATAGGCCCGGAGGAATACCTCGGGTTTTTCCGAGGCTGAAGCTATGGTCTGGATCATCCCTATCCGGTTGGCTTCATGCACCTCTGAGGTTGAGGGCTGTGGTTCCTCGTTGGCGGGTGGGTCCCGTAGGACCGGCGTTTTGCCCTTTCGACTTTCCTCGAATCGGCGCCTGTTTTTGAGGAACCGTTCGATCAACTTTTCGTTAGCCGCTTCAGAAATGGTTAGCAGATATGGAATAGGGACGGGGATCCAAAGATCCAGAGCCTTCAAGGCATCCAATACGTTGATATGGTCATCCTTGTATTCAGGATCAGGTACCGAAAGATCTTCGAACCCTAGTCGCCACGGCCCGAGGTCGCTTTCCTCGGTAATCCGTTGGACGTGACGTATCACTCCGATGGTCCCGGGTTCGAACATCACTGCTGCCATATACTCATCGGGTCCTATCTCAGTGGCCGCAGGGGTCACCATCTCCGTCGTTCCTGTGTCCATTACCGTGGCTACCCTCCCCTATCCTGCAGCGGTGGGAGCAGCCAGTGGGATTTGGGAAGGTCCGGTAGGACCGCCCTGATTTCGGGGTTTCGGACAATCTTTCGCAAGATGGCCTGGCTGATTACAATTATAACGGCGTAGGGGTGGGACAGCCGTGGCCACGGCCGGTCTTATCATAGGGGCTCCGGCCGCCATAGCCGCCTGTTGTCGTTGTGCGGCGGCTATGCGTTGCCGTTGCAGACCTTGAACAAACTCCGTTAACGGGGCTACTACCGTAACTAATTGGGTCGCGACCTCTTTCATGGATACTTCTTCCTTGCCCCGGCCTCCTTGCGTTTGACTAGGGCGACGGGAGGCCGAAGCAGAGGAGGAAGTTTTCCGATCCGAGCCTTTTTTTGCCGGACCCAACCCGAAGCGATCTTCGAACATACGTGTCGTAGCGGAGTAGCTATTGCGTCGAACGCCCGAAGGGTCATCTTCGTCGGATTCTGAGTCCAGGCCCACATCGTAATTTTCCTTCCCGTACTTAATTGCGTACTAAATTAGCTCCGTCAGGGTATGTTCTATAGGGTTGCATTTCTTGCGGATCTTTTTCCGCTGACGAGAATCTGACAGTCCTCTGACGAAATCAGTCTGTACCATCTTCTCATCCACCCCGGAGCGCTCGGCTAGGTACCTAAAACGTTCAACATATCTAGCCAAGGTCTCTCGAGGTTGCTGTGTGTATTCCTTTATTAAACGGAGGCATTGACCTGGTGCGATGTGATCACATCTATCGAGAAATTTCCTCTGGAAGGCTGCCCAATTAGTGAAGGGGTTTTGTCCGTATCACTCAAAAGCGGTTCCGGCTAACCTTCCGGGGATTCGTTCTCGGAGCAACTGGTCCGACCAGCCCTAGGCTTTCAAGGCCCCCAGCCAGGTGCGAGGATCGGTGTCATCCTCAGAAAAAATAGGAACTTTGGAGGGAGGAGGTACAAAGTACAGGGGATGATTGGCCATCCCCGCATGGTTGTCGTCGTCGTTTGCCCACACGATTCCGGGTTCCACCATCGCAGGAGGCGGGTTTCGAGCCCGGCCCCTTGCTCGGTTCGGATTGCTATTCGCGGGCCTCCGTCGACGGGGAGCCAGCCTACTCAAAAAAAATTCGGAAATTCCAGTAAAAAGATCAAAAAGGAAAAAAGGAGAAACTTTAAAACAGGGCAATCGTCCTAGGAAAACCTCGGAGCCGAAACGAATCAGCTCTGATACCAACCACACGCCCCCTCGCGGCTTCCCGTACGGAGTCACCGACCAGAGTTCTAGGAGGGGCGTGGCCGAGGATTTTTGGTCGTAAGGGTTGAGTCTCTCGGACGGAACGGGAGACTCTCATTTCGTGGCCGAGGTTTTTCTCGGAGTCGAACTGTCGCCGCGGAGTCGTGTGGGGGGGGCCCAAATCACTCCGAAACGATAAAATCAAAAAGGTTTTCGCAAAAAGGAACTGCCGCCATGCATCGGGACGGAAAAAGGCATCAAGGGGAGAGGGCCATGGCGGCGGAAGACAAAACTTCGATCGTCAGGGGTTTGGGGGATAGGTGGTGGGTTCGAAGCCTTCGGGCCTCATCATCGACTTCACAAAGTGTCTGAACCCTCGGGTCTTTGTTGTGGAGGTGGGTGGATCGAGGCCTTCAGGCCTCGGCATCGGACTCACAGAGTCCACGCGAAAGTTTCCGGGAGGGTAAAGAGGCGGGAGGACTCGTCGGTATCTGAATTCGAAATTGCGCGGGCAGCGCCACCGCACTACGGGAAAGTTCGGGGAAACGTGTCGCTCCCTCATAACCCAGGATCAGTCGTCGCCATGAGCACGAGTCCCCCTGGGGACACCAGCAACAATCAAACTGCGGTCGCCACGCGTCGTGAGCGGCCGACCAGGGCAACACCGTTAAACCCGTATAAGGCAATATCAGAGTCGGCGAATCAAAACGATCAATCAACACAAACYCATTCCCCCTTATCTCAYAGGCCCGCGGCGGGTCTTGCCAACACACTTGCTCCGTCCGCCTCAGYGCGCGTCGTACGTCCKCATCGCAGTAGACGYTGTCGTCATCTGTGATGGGGAAGGTCGGTAGCGARATGARACGATCGGAGGTACGTGATGAACACGGGCAAGATCCCGCGTTCCCAGTCATCCGAACCAACACCGAATCCATACAACAATCGTCGCAACTTTYYTCTCTCRAAAGYGAGTGCGTAGGRGWGGGGAGATGACGAAATCTAAGCTTTCKCCTCTTGGCGGGGGCGTCGAYCGTCCGCGCGGACGCAGGCGGTTGACGTCACCGGTACRGGGACGATAAGCTCRAAAAGCKATGACTGTCAGTTCCAAGGAAGGCGATCGGGGAAGGGRAGAAGGGAGASARAGAGAGTGAGAGAGWGAATTWCGYCGAGACCGTGCGARAGCGCAGGAAAGACCGCGGAGGGGAGGGGAACAACCGGATCAACACACTCATACTCCTAAGCAGACGGTTTCCCAGTTCRGTTTCCCCATCCCCGCCCGGACGAGTACATATACACATACATGCATGCAATCAATAACACTCGACAGGACGTCTAATCATCCATGGACCTTCGACATCACTCATGCGCATAACAAGCTCCCATCACTCGGGGCTTCACACACACAACATGCACAGACAAAGCAGCAATGGAGATAAAAGCGAGTCCCTCTTGTAGACACAAAAATTTCAATTGACTGCCGTCCCCAGGCGCAGCCTTTAAAAACTTCCCAAGACCACCGACCACCATAGCCACAAGGCCCTGCCGCGGCCGGCGTCCAATCCCCACCACTGCTCGGTCCCTCCGACTG